AGCTCTTCTGACAGGTGTTGCTTGACCATAGATAAAGCAAACACAGAATTTAGTATCAAAAGACTACCAGTAAGTGAGCATTTACCTCCCTCACACAAGGCTGGAAAGAGCTGTCAGCGATGTCTTTGCAAAGTCGCAGCACTAGAGCAGGTTCTGTCTTTGCCAACGCTGCATCTTCCTGAAAGTGACAACTCCAGCTGGTGCAGCAGTGGGGCTCCTGGGGAGAGGGGTCTGCTCTTTCTGACTTATCATAAGCAGGCCACCGTGTCCTGTAAATACTTAAGATTTACCTTCAACATTAAAGACTTAAAAAGAGAAACTGAAGAAGTGAGCTTTTCTCACAGGCAGTCCAGGAGCAGGAGAACACCTCTTTGTAGCAACCACAAACACTGCAGCTTTCGTGGCCTGGGAGATTCACATCGCTTGCTTCCTGACAAGGATTTCAGACACTCAAACCTGGGAAAAAGGTCCCCAGTGGGAAGTAGCAAGCGACCCTAAAACATAAGGTGGCCCTCAAATGTAACTGAGGTCTTCCTGATGAAATTAAAACTGCAGATAAACAAGAGCACCGCTTGATCCACTAGCACGGCCACGGCATGCGAAAGGGGAAGCAGCAATGCAGAAAGCGAATCTGAAGGAGCGATGTGATTCCCGCCATTGAGAGCCTTTACGCTGCCTTTGCTCTCACTGTGTGAGACGTACAGCTTTCATTAGTCCCTGTCCCATCACAGCCAGCCGATGATGCCGAGAAGCGTTTACGACCTCCCTGCCAGGGAGCACGCTGAGGCCTGAGGCAGGTTTTCCTTGTCTCCAGCAGTGGTGTGAACAAAACGAACAGTGCAAGAGGCTGCATCTGCCAGAGCTGCTGGTCGCTCCTTTGCACCGACTGACACGCTATCCCCTCCTCCTCAACAACATCTGGAAGAGGAGCACTGACGAAACAGAGAAAGGCTTTATCCATTCGCTTAAAGAAAAGGTGGAAAAGTCCATACGTAAGTAGCTGAGGTTAAAAGTCAAGCATGCAGTTAGCAATTAGCAAGTTATGTGGCCTTTTTCTGCATGTCCTTTGAGTGTGAATGGGTACAGTCTCCCTGCAGAGATGCAGTGAGGATGTGCGTGCCTTTCTACAGTCCTGAGTCCATCCTCATTCTGTAGGAAATGATTGGTGCCACCCTTGTGCTGTCAAAGCCTCTCTGAGCAAGGTCACAGGACTCCCAGATCAGTGAGTCACTTGTATTTGCTCACAATCGTCTGCAGTGACATGCAAACAATTAAGAGCAGATCACAAATCAAGAGAGATCTCAAACAAAGAAGTCTTTGAGTTGGATTTATGTCTGGGGAGGATTTGTTGGGGCTAATCTTTAATAGGATAAAATTGCACTCACAAGGGGAATATTATGTCAGTGACCTTTCACTAAATGACAGGGTCCTACCATGTAAAGTAGCTGAAGAGATATCTCAGCTACAGATTTTCTCTAGCTATTGTGGAAAAAGAAGGGGTTGGTCCAGGAATTTTTTTTCCCCCTGCATTTTGTTTTAAGTAAATAATTTATGAATTCAGTCTTGTTCATGAAGCTATAAATTAATCTCTAAGTGCCTTATGGTTATATAGTACAGGAGCAGATAGATTTATTCCCCAAAGGCCTCATGCAGCCCACACTGAAATCAAATACAAGACAGTGCAACAGCAAAACACTTCTGTGCCAGTCTTGGCAGGGAGAGGTGCCAGGGAGCACTTCATCCCAACCAGCAGAACACCAGGGCCCTGAGCCACCCAGTATGGTGCCTCGCTTTCTGCCACCATCCTTCTCCCCATCCTAGAGGCTGAAGGCTCAATCATCTCCTTGGGAGATGAGACGGAAAGAGACTTTATGTATTCTAAAGAAAGATAAATCTGGGGCTGCTGCTTCACAGGTAAATACTTCAATGGCAGAATTACCACCTAAAAAAGAGACTTGGGGTCTTTCTCTTCTTGCCAACTCTTATGAGGAGACTAGCCTAATGGCCATACAAGGAGCACACTTTCCGGCACAGAATGGATCCCATAGGAAAATAAGATGTTTTTGTCACTAGTCCGGGGACTTCTGCTGGGAGGACAGCAGTTTTAGGCACGGCCCAAAAAGATCATGGGATATCTAGAGAATATTACTGGCAAAGAAATAGGTCCTTCTGGAGTTCAGGTACCTCTGGGCCAAGGAAACCAAAGATAGAGGGGTGACCCCTCTATATTCACAGGCACCTGACAGAGATCTGCCTTCATTTTATGATCAGTGAATTAGTGATATAAGGAACAGTTGCAATCCCAGCATTCCCCTTCTGGTGCATACATGTGTGTGTCTGTGTCTGAAACCATCATTGGCAATATCACTCAACACAAAAACTTGGAATTTAAGTTTCAGGTCCATTAATATTTTCCCCATAACAGCCCTGAATCAGCAAAGTCTTAGTCCCCATTTTTAGCATTCTGAGGTGGCCGCATCCCAGTTAAATACTTCAGTCACTTCTGGCACCATTTTCCCTGAAATTAAGATATTAATTCTCATTAATTTCAACAGTCTTTTGATCGGGCTGTATATAATGAAAACTATTTTTCCTCTCACTACCCTAGACAGTTTAAAAAGGCAGAATTTTTTTTTTTTTTAAAGATCTTTTTAAGATTACAGTATAATGGAGTTTTATATGATTTCTCGTCTTCCCCGGTCAGATTAGTAAACACAATCCTTGCATTTAGCAGTGAATTTAAACCTATGGGGATGCATGGTTTGAAATTCTGGCTCTGCTGACCTGAGAAGAGTTTAATTATTTTTCACAACAAGGCTAAGATTTCATCTGGAGCTCCATGTGTGAGGCGCTTTGGCTTCCACTGGAAAAAAATCAGTATTCAGCATCTAGAAACAGGACTGTTTCTGCCAGCCTTGGCAGTAACTGATGATTCACATATTTCAGGGGATCTGGAAGGTAAAGTCAAGTGGTTGGACAACTTTCAGAAGTTCAGGCAGCTGCAAGAGGTCATAATTTGGCCTCAAGTCTGGGATCGCGACAAGAGATTCTTTGTCCCAGAGGTAAGTGTTTTTTTTAAAGGGGGTTTCTCCTTGGGGAAGGTTTACTTTCCTATCGATCTTTACAGTATGGTCTAAAGTTGGCTGGTTGTCTATATTCTAGCTCCTGGGGGCAGATCTGCTCTAAGAGGAGCAGCTGCAGCCTGAGCACAGCAAACACTGTAGCTGAACACACCGGCTGTGCACAGTACTTTGGATGGCACCACAGGTTGCTTTCTGCTAGCATCCGAGAGAGCACGATCATATGATCCTGGAGGACTCTCCAATGTTTGCTTTTAGGGGACAGAATGAAATGGGACAGATATAAGTATTGCTACCTTTTCATAAGGATACGAAGTAGAAATTCTTTGCCTCTTTCTCTCCTCAAACTGAGAAAAAGAAATTTCTGTTTACATTTAAATAGCATTACAAAAAATTACACAGCATACCTGGGAACATGCACTTTTCTGCTGTGGTTACCCCCTTACCCATACAGGCAGACTTTAAGCAATATTATGGTAACATCATCAAGTGGGTCTCGCCTCAAGGATTATGTCTGTTTACATGCAGGGCTGCAAAAACCATTAAAATTGCTCCAGAAAAGAAAAATCCAGCCTAATGTTTCAAAAGCATAGACACATTTAAGCAATAAGCACCGCTGAGGAGACACAGCCGTGCTCAGTTATTAACTGTGTAATGTTATAGCCTGAGATAAGAGTACACATGTGCTCCATTTGTTTAACTGCTGGTTGCCTCCCAGTTCATCATCAGATATGCAAGATTCCCCATTCGCTCTCTCTTTCTCTCTCTCTTTTGGGTCAAGTGTTTGAAGCAAAGCTTAAGAGAAAACAGCAGTGAAAACATTTTGTCTTCAGCGAACAGACTTCTCCTTCATGAAGGGAGGCTAACACTAGCAGGTAATGCCCCTAAATGTCTCGATGTCAGGAGTTAGCTTAACAGGCTCGTCTCTTGTTATGGCAGATCCAGAATGAATCTCTGCAACAGTATTTGGGCAGGTGCAGGAAAGAAAAAAGCAAATGTAGAGTTTGTCAGAGAGAGACTGAGAAACAGCCAAGCCACCAAAAGGATGAGTAATCTGTGTGATTGTTTCCTGTCACATCTGGATATTCAGTCTGCCAGGTGCTGAAGAAATCAGCTTGACTGGCCAATGCCTGCCACTCAAACAGGGAGTTTTACTGTCGTGTTCAAGAATGTGGCAATAGGAAAACAGGAAGTTTAGACTGTCCTATACAAGGTGCCCCAGGTGCCTGGGGATCAATGTTGAAACACCTCACCTCTCTGGCACCATATCCACTATGTATTTCATTGAAAATTACTGAAAAGTCCAGAGGTTTTTCCTATTTTTATTCCATATCTCATCTCTGCTAAGACTGCTGTTTTGATAGATGCCTTGGAACAAGAAGGTGTTATCCTGCTGGGTGGCTTCCCTTTTGTGAACAGAGCACTCAAACAACATGCCATTAACTCCACAGGTAGCACAGTGGTCCCATACAAGCACGTTGATTTCTACAGTGCTGCTCGCAGCCATCTATCACCCTGGCAGAGAGGAGACTCAACGTCTCCAGACACGCAGGCACCTTTTTGTAGCAGAGCACAAGTTGCTCCTCTCCTCAGGAGCAGAGGTGAAGAGAATCAGCACCCAACACTTGCTGTCTTCCGCCACCATTATTAATGTTATAAAGGGAGTAGCAAAAGGGACACGGTCCATTTTTCAGTGTTTTTGTTTTCCTTCCCTCACGAGGAAAATGATAGTAGCAGAGGAGAAGGCACAACACCAGGGAGAGCAGAAGAAAAGCTTGCTGTTGATGTTTAGGGGGTGGTAAGCAGAGGAGGAAGAAAGCCACTGAGTCTTCTCCTGCCAATGCTCCCCTCTGCATTCATTGCCCTTTTCATGAGACATCAGCCCCCAGTGCAGAAGGTAAGGGTGGCCATTAGGTGTCCGCATTTCTTTCTGCAATACGTAATCAGAAAATGGAGAAGGAGCTAGGAGCATAACTCTTACCTACCAAGGCAGCCAGCTGCCTGCAAGCTGCAATATAAAAGTGCCTGGCATTTGGCCACTTGTCTGAATGAAATATCTTTGAAGACAAAAATGAAATCACAATTCAAATATAATGCCGCACAACAGAAAGAAGCATGTACTGAAGTCACAACTCTGAACAGACTGTCACACGTTTGGTGTTAAGGCGAAGTGTGCTTCTTTGAATGAAACTGAAATCACTGCAAACACACTTGCATGATTTTTTTTGTAATCCTGTAATTGAGAATAGGAGCAGCTGAGAAAAGTGGGTTTGTTGAGATGCAGGAAGAGAAGGTTCAAAGACATTATGGTTGTCTTCAACTACCTAATGGCTGGTTTAAGGCAGATGGAGCTAAAGGACAAGACATAACAATGCTAGTTGCAGCATGGATATTCCCCTGTTACATATTTGGAAAAAACTTGTCAACAATTAGGGTGGTCAAATATTGGTACAGGGGACCAGAGAGGTTGCAGAGTGTCCTTTCTTGGAGAGAAACTTGATTGAACAACCTGCTCTAGCTTAGCCTGCTTGCAGCAGTGGGTTGGACTAGAGACCTCCAGAGGTTCCTTCCAACTGATGCCATTCAATTGACTCTGTCAACGCAGTATAAATCAAAGAAACAGAAAAGTTTGTCCACAGCAGTGGAATGAGTTTACAACAAACAATTCTTTCCTGTGTAATGCCCACAAAAGCCTACCACTGTACAAGGAATGCTGTGGAGAACCCTCTATCAAGTTTTTGACTTCACAGAAACTTACAGAAGGGTAGTTTTTATGAGACGTCTAATACACGTTAAGTTGCTTGTTTGTAGTCTTCTGAATCTCCACTGGCACAAAGAAAGGTCCTAATTGTAGTTTCTTTATTCTCCACGCAGCTGGCTTATCCATGACCTAGTTAGTTAGAATTTCAATTTTCAGTAGTTACTCATGTTGCTTTGCGCAACATTAACGAGATGAGAAGTTTTCAAGCCAAACTTTTCAAAACTAAACACCCAAGAAGGTACTTTAGGATCCTGCAAGATTGTCTGGAAGCAATAACCCTGACTAACCTCATTTGCTGTGAAGAGTAGGTGGACATTTCATGCCTAGTTTTCGTGTCCAGAGATGCCCTATTGGTACCGAGTAGCCAGAGGACAGATTATCACGGATAAAGCCTGCAGCAGAGAAAGGCGGTGATTCTGGAAGCAAAATAGGACAGCAAGTTGGGACCAAAAAGGGAAATTAAAGAAAGATTCATGGAAAGGGATAGAAGGAGCCATAAACAAGGAAGAGGTCAAAGGACCAAACTCTGCAAATCCAGTAAAGCGCCCAGGTTTCTTGCAGGAAGTTGTGTAAAAAATACTCTTGCTTTTGTTAAATTGCTCTCTATTATTTATTATAACTGTACCTGAGTTTTCAATGTAGCTTGGAGATTAATTTGAAAGAGTTGGAAGCATTCTCACAGACATTTGTTGTTATATTCCTCACATCTTCATGACCTCTAAGCTAGGAAGGAAATATAAGCCAATACTATTTTTTGTAGTTTTTGAAAGGGTTTTGTGATGCTATCAACAAAAGCCTGGGAAGAGGGCAGCATACCAGTATTTAAAGTTACCAGGAAAAGGTGGCCCTTCCCTGTTTCTTTATCTCTGCCATGTTCAGAACGTTCACTGTTTACCAGGTAGGATTTATTAATTTACAGCATGCTGATTGTTGCATTCATAGGTGATTAAGGTCACTTTTTCTGGCAGGCAAGTAATTGTTTTTTCATAATGAGGTCACTACTACAAGACACAAGTATTAGTAGCCAAATTCATCAAGAGAAATATGATTTTTTAAGTGCTGCATTTGACAGAGTGCAGACTACGGGAAGAATAGTTGTGTACTATGTTGGAAATCATGCTTTTTTGTCACAAGCATTCTGCAAGATGCAATGATTCATAGACGTGCCTCATCATAGAAGTAGCAATTCCTTAAAACAGTCATACCATGAAATTGATTTTTTTTTGTTTTCCTCCCCAGAAAGCACAAGACACCTTGATGTCTATCTCTTCTTATTTGATGATTTCCTACTAATTACCAAAATTAAACGTAACAAAAAGGTAATAATGGATAGAGATATACATGGTTGCAGTTGTTACGTTTTTTAGCTTGGTAAATATTTTGAATGTAGTTTGGAATATTGATCTAATGATAAAAATACAAGATGACTAATCACCATGAAAGATGGGTGATACTTCTTTACGCAAATAGCAAACTGTAACACCAATTCAAAACCCTGCTTCTAGGCTCACTATGTTACAGGAGCACTATGACAAGCAGAATTTACATTACAAGACCTTAATATTTTCCTGATGTTATTCTCAGATGCTCAATTCCTAAAGCTCAGAAAAGTTTCAAGAATATCAGAAGTTTTCTAATGCTCCCCTCATGACTCAGTCCAGTAACTTGAGAAATTTTTATCCCAGAGATACCAGAACTGTTGCAAAGAAGGAAAAAAAAAAAAAAAACAAACAAAAAAACCAAACCAAAACCCAAACAAAAAAACCCAGGGAAATGCTAAAATAGCTGGAAAACTGCTTTTATTCTCAGTTCCAACATAGCCTATTATATGTTGCCTCTCTTTGCCTTGATTTCCCCTAGTTTAAAACGGAGATGATGACTCTTCTTAAGAAAGTTATTACTGATGAAAGATGCTGGAGAGAGAGTTCTATATATCATAAATCTCTGTATTTAGCCACCAAAAAAAGGCACTGGATGACCTGAAATTCCTAAAGTTTCAGTGTAGGAGTGCATCTAGGTAATTAATTTTATGAAGCTGATGTAAATTAATGCTAAGTGGACCTGTGCTGAATCTCAAGTTTGTGCCTGATTGAAAGACCTCTCAGGGTTTTTTTAAAGAAGCAAGTGTTCTGCTTTTGTAGGAGATAGAGAAGGCATGCAGTCAGAGATTCTAAACCAGCAGCACCATCCCTTAGCAATGGGACAGATGAGGGGGGTGGAAATTCAAGGGACCTGGTGCCTGCAGGCAAGTCTCTTTGAGGGTTGCCCCTCGTACATGTGTTGGCAAACCTTTGGTGAAGGGCTGCAACCCATTTGGAGCCCCAGCAATTCTGTGTTCTCCATGTATGCGAGAGGAGATGGGGAAACACACCGCCAAGGAAAGGACAAAAAGTCCTGCTATTAAAACAATGGGGACAAGGGGGAAAAAACCCTTTGAACACCTTAGACTGACTGTTTTCTGCCTGTGCACTCATATTGTGCTTCTATCATGGCTTTTTCTAGTACGGGGTGTGACCTTGCAGGAGAGCTCCAGGTACGGATGAGTTTTTCTGAGGTTTCTCAGGCAAGTAAGCTGTCTGAGTACCTTTGACAAGAGGAAGCACATAATTTAGGGCTGTTTAGTGCCTATACTTCATGAGCAGGTGGCAGACAACCAGCTAACCAATTTAATTTTCTATTCCCAGAAACACGGGGGCTCAGATGCAGGCTTAATTCCCATTTGTCCTTCCCTCGCTCCTGAGCTGCAGTCCTTCATAAAAGAGGGCGGGATTTGCACGGTCCTAGACCAGCCCATCCCACTAGACAGACTGATACTGAGAAACGTCGACCCTGTCCACGTCACAGGTATGTCCCCACGTGTGTTCGAACATCTTCACAAACACCATCGTGACACATGGCTTACGTGGCGGTGTGAGGACAGGACGCCATGTGCCCACACACCACCCCTGGGTGCCTGGAGTGCCGACGCCGGTGCCTCGGCACTCTTCAGCTTCGCAGCTCCGCTCTGGCGGCGAGGCAGCAGCTGCTAACATGGACATCACACCCCACGTCCCCCCGCCTCTCACAGCGACGTCCACGTACGCACCCGCGACTGTCCATTCGCCCCAAAGGAGCAAAAGTGTCCGGACACTGTCCATTCGCCCCAAAGGAGGTACTGAGACTCCGACGACTTCTTCCTCACGAGCCCAGTATTCCCCCGCCCTGGCTGTCCTCACACGCTCTGTCAAACCCTGGGGACGCTTTCACAGCAGCAACTCTTGAGGAGGCTGGAGAGGAGACGTCCCTCCCACTGCTGCTCCCGCTCACCTCCCTGCTGGCTCTGGAGAGGATGGAAATCATCTGCTGTATATCAACGCTTCCTTGCTCACAGGCATCCAAACGCATTCCCAGGGGAAATGCCTCCGATACCCTCTGCTGCTGGGCCCTTGGGTGAGGAGGGGAGGACTGACCCCCACAGTGAGCGACTGGCCACTGGGGTCACCGAACCGGGGCTGGGGTGAGGGAGCAGGTGTGAAAATCAGCCCTCCTCCTGGTCCAAGCCGCTCCTGCAGGCTCCCGCACAGCCCAGTCTAACTCCGCCAGATCCCAGGAGCCTCCTATATCAGAGAGAAATAAGAGAAATACAAATCTCTGGGACCTGTCAGCCATCCTAATCCTAAAGACTGGGAGGAAAAGCTCAGGGAGCTAGAGTGCTCTGTAGGAAATCAATAGGTGTGGAAAACAAACCTAGAGCCCGTAAAATTTATGCTGGCTTTGAACTACATTCACCCAGACTAATTAGCGTTCAGCATCAACGCTGACGGGAAATAAAGGCGAATGACTCAAGATGAGGTAAGGGGATGAACGCAGAGAAGAACAACCCTTTTTCTGAGGCACCGCCCGTCTGCCAAACGAGCCCCCCCACCAGCCCCGCAGGAACGGAGCGCAGGCGGCAGCCACCCCGGCCGCGATGCGGGGCAGCCCCACCGTCCCACCCACGCCCGGGTCAGATGCGGTCGGCAGCTCCGGGGCCGGGGAAGGCAGCGCAGCCGCCCTCCGGTTCGCACATACAACACTGGGCATAAAAGCTGCAATGGAGCTTTCTGGACTAAGATTTTTGGATATTTTTTTTTTCAAAACCAGCTTTTTCTGCATACAGAGATTTCTAACCAGGGTCTGTCTTATCCCCGTGACCCAGCTGCAGTCAGCAGGACAGACAAAGTTACCTGCTGCATCCCAGCACTGGTTATGGCCCTTCCCTGCACTCCGGATCTCTTTGCCTGACTTCTCTCCTGTATGTTCCCACCAGCTTTATTACAGCTGCAGCTATGGCAGTCTCTGTTACTCGCCTATACTCTTGTAACATCTTGGAAGCCCTGTCCTAATACAGGACCCCTTGGAGTGAGGTACAACAAAAATAGTGAGAAAAATTACTATAGCGAGTTTGCAGTTCAGCTTTCCACCATTTTGTGTAAAGCAACAAGCAAAACTTCCAGTGTCACTGGAAAATGTCCCTTTGCAGGGGAAAAAGAAAAATAAAAAAAAATAATCTCAGGAATGTGTGACCTTGAGGAATGCTGCCAATTTATTTGCAGTCTCAGGAGACTCTTACTACTGGTGGCAGTAAAAGATTAGTTAGCATGTTCTCAGAAAGGACAGCATGTGACTTGTAGTGATCCATCCAACCCTGATTTTTGATTTAACAAGTACTTTTGTATTCATTAGTTTGCTGAGGGTTGATGTCACTTCGGAAAGAAATGTACCTCAATACAAAGACTAGAAAAAAAAAAAAATATTGCAACATCATAAAAACACTCTTTTGGCAGCAGATGGGAGGGTAATAATTATGCAGAATAATTGTAGCCCAAAGCCTGCCACGTATCAGTGGAGGTGTAAGAATTATAGTGGCATACTCTTAACACTGGGAAGATACCCTAAAGGCAGAACTTTCTGTGAATATAAGACCTTATATAAGAGATGTAACTTTACCTGTAAGTGTAATAGTAGGAATCCATCTCTGAAGAAAGTAAGCAGCAACATACTTTCTGATTAGGGATTGCTTTCCTTTTAATATTCTGCTCTGGATTTAATCTTTGCAATTACTTATTGTTGCTCCACCAACAATGCTTTACACTAAGTTTGAAGGAGCCAGACTCACTGGTATAGCACTATATCAAAGACTGGTAATCTTTACAGCCACAGAATTTCTTTTAGAAAGCATTACTGAGAGCCTGATGCTGAGCATTCCCAAAAAAAGTCATTTTTAGGACTGCAAAGTTGTATTTCCTATTGACTACAGACAGACATAGGGCACGAAGTTCTGAAACATACTCCCCTTGCTGCTACAAATTTCTGCTGCTAACTGATTTGCTGCAGTAATTTAACCAGTCTGTGCTCCACTTTGCTTTTCTATAAAACTAGGATTATAGGACACTTTTATCTTCCAGGAACATTATGAGGTCTGACTGTAAAGCACTTGGAAATGCTTGGACAAGATGCATTACAGAGCAACAAGATATTCTACACAATACAAGGCTTCAGAGGAAACTATATGATCTAGATAAGGTTATCAAAAAGATATGTCAACTGTAGTAGACTCAGAAAAAAGCTGCCTTGTCTCAAGCTCGAGGTCTGCGCTCCCATCCGGCCTGTGTGGATTCCCGAGCAGGGCTCCGCTTCGGGACACCACTCGTGGAGAGGCAATCCCACACCTCACTCGTGAACGCTTAATTTACAGCAACATCAACTCTAGCTAAAAAAAAAGCAATGCCACATTAATCCAGTGCATTATAACAGGCTACCGTGCCCCCTCCCTGCTACTACCAGCCCACCCAAGCATGCCTGCCATCTGCCACAGGATTTCGGCTACTGGAAGATGTTTTCCCCTCAGCCCACTTCGTAGCACACCTAAGACACCCCTTCGCTCCAGACATGCGACATGGGTGCTGATTTGTCCCCTTGCAGGGAAACCTGCTACACAATGCTCAAAGTAAACTGCAGGACCCAGGAGACGCTGCTGTCACTGGTTAACTTCTGCAGCAGTCTGGCAGGAACCAGAGTGCTGCTGGAAACGTGCCCGGCCCTGTGAGACGCTGCTGCCAGCAGCTGACCAGGGGCACCCCTGGACAGCAGCACCAGCTCACGCACATGCTCCAGGGAGAGTCCAAATCCACCATCAGCCCAAGTGCAGCTGCTTCCCTATGTGGCAGCCATCGTGCAGACCTGTTTGAAATTAAATAAAATTAATTTAATTTTAAAATTAAGCAGAAAGGGGTCTTTCTGCTTAATTTTTGCTATTTGTTTTTCTCTAACCTGTTATGATTTAGTCCACTTTGAATGGAAATCTCTCTTAATGATACTCAGCTAGATTCAAAAGTACCTTAGCTGCACAACGATTAATCAAAAATAAAACAAATGCAAGTAGAATTAACTTTTTGATATAGCAAAGCTTCCTGCACAACAAAAAACCTAACCCTATCAGGGTGCATTGCTGTGTTAAGAATCAGAAGAGATGATTACATATATCATTTCTTCAATCATAATTAATGGGTTATAAAATGGGACTGACAGCTGCATGAAGGCATTTATATAATTTCTCCATGTTTTTTCCACAGTCTTCAGCCTGCGAAATGCTTTCCTAATACAGCATGAAAATAGGTATCGTCAGTGCATAGCAGTCTTCTTGCTACAAGCTCAGACAGAGACCGCCAAGGTAAGGAGCACACCTTTTTTTCTTCTCTAATTACACAACTACACTTTCCCTGAAGGAGGATCTCGGCCTAAAAGTGGCCATGCTGTGCCAAGAGTCTATTACAGCTGTGACATTTGACCAAAACCAAACCAAAACAAAATAACACTCCAGTGTTCTGGCTCACACATTTATTACAGAATTTTTACTGTTGAACATGTACCAATTTTGTATCAGGGTTGAAAGCAGGTCGTATTCTTGTTGAAAAACATTAGCATTTCTGATTGCTAAAAAAAATATACCGTTTCTTGAGTAACAGAAATGAAGATGGTCAGTATCTCCAGAGAAGTCAACACCAAAACAACCCTCCACACCCAGTTCACGTGCAGTAATACTCAGATCAGAAAACTGTATCATGCTCATCCATGCATGACACACATCTTGCAATTTCAGATTGAACAGATGGTATGATTAATTCCACTGTTATATCAACTTACCCCTCATTTTCACACCACATCACATTTCCAGTAACAGCGCTGTGTATAACATCTGAAAGCATAGAAAAAAATTCACAGAAGTGTTTTTTTCTCTTGTAAGTTGAATTTCATTCTCTAATATCTAATGCACAGAAATTTGACTACCACTAATACTAGTTCTTAAAAAGAAATTGCAGTGGAAGGACTTTTTCAGGGAAAAGCAATGGGTGAGTTCTTTCCGTTTCCAAATCACTGGTTAGTACTTGGAATAGGTATCTACTATAGGTATCTACTCAAGAAGTCATTACCTTCTCCTGTTATTAAAATATTTACCTTTCCCTTCCAAAGCTGCCTTCACACCAGGTGGCTACCATCTTCTCAATGTCTTCCAAGTCCAGTTTATCAAAAGAGAAAACCCTGCAGTGAAAGGTTCTTTTCACTTGGATGTGGTGGCATTACCACATTTTGTTGAACTCTGGGCACTCTGAGCCCTAGGAAAGGTAGACTTTCCAGCACTGCCTGAATGAATAGAACTACCTTATTTCAGCTCCCAAGAAGCCTGATCTCAGCACGATCAATATATATTTTAAAGAAACTTTGGCAGCCAAGATGAGCTCATGGGTTTAGCTGATGTGATTCTTCACAGCAGAAAGGAAGATGATCTGGGTAAGATTAATATTGGTGAGGACCATCAGACCAGGGCCTTGACTTGGCTAAGCTCTACCAAAAGGGAAACAGCAAACTGAATGAAGCATTAAGCGCTACATTCCCATTGACTCATACCAAGCAGAGGGCTGTTAGGTTGTGAGCTGCCTCTTAGATTTGCGTTTTTTGAAGTGCCTGTCTCTGTCACGGACTGCCTGTATCTTCTCACAGTGGGTCACAACCAAACGGCTGTTGCGACCACAATGTATCTCACAATCAGAAGAATGATCCAAACTCACTACCATCTCACTCCAACAGAGAGCTCTGACTCACACTCTCCAGGGGCTTCTACCACTCCAGTCTCCAGGAGGGAACTGCCCCACTCCCTCTTGGGAGTGCCCCGCCTTTAAGCCTCCCATAGGTCACGTGGTCTCCCGCTGACCACTGTGACTCGCAGCACCTGTCTCGACAAGGCACAGGTGCTTCCCATGTAGCAGCCAGGAAACTTCCCCGACATGCCTCAGCTCCCCACTCCCCAGCTCACCCCGCCTGCCTGCCTCCCGCTGCCGTACCGCGCGATACCAACGGCACGGGAGCACGCACAATGCGCCGAACGTAGGGGCAGTGACTCCCTTGCCCCACTCCCACCTCTCTCTCAGACACCCAATACTCAGCAAATATGTGAAAACACAGACTTGAAACACGCTGCTGCTTCTCATCCCACCCATACCACCACCGTGCCCTGTTCTCTTCCCCCCGTCCCCTGCTCTCCTCACTGAGCCTTGAAAACCTCAACAGTTTAAATCTTACCTCTTCTTGGTCCACTACCGCCTGGCTAAGCCGCATGTAACCCCCACCACCACCCTGCACATCGGACCCTCCTCCACTGGCAGCTCCAGGGGGGCCAGGGCAACTGCCCCATGCCGAAGCTGGCTCCGTGCTCTGCCAGGCGCGTACAGCTTGTGCAGGCAGACTCTGCTCACACCTGCTGCTGGAGCTCCTTAGACCTGTTGGTCATGCAATTTATCTCTCCAGCTTTCCATTTTTCCAAGCGATGTACTTAACTCGTATTTAACACAAGAAACAACCAGATGGGTCAATAAAAAAATTTGTGAATCCCAGCATAGCTTGAAGTGGAACAGGCTGCTCCTTCTCACGTATTTCTACTCTTTGCCTCAAAGCTCAGTGCCTCCCCATGTATTACAGTGGGGAGAGCAGCCCCTGACCAGGCAAAATAAAAATCCTGGGGTGGGAGAAGCACAGCTAGAGCTTAAGCTTATGTTGCTGCCCACTAATTTGTAATGTCTAATCATAGCAATTCAGAGACAACTCAGCTTCTGTGACCCAGACCATCTGGACTAACACAGAGGGAAAGAAGTTACGTATTGTAAAACCATCTCTCCAGCCACCACCCTCTGCCCTCATACCTGGATGACAGCGGATATAGAGCTGAATGCTGTCAGCGTGATGCTAGAAACTGAAATTCGTGTGGCAGCACTTGACAGATATCGGAGAGGGACAGAACTTGTGATGCTGATAGCACTGGAGCTGTCTTAATCAGAGGAACAGGGAGCCCAAACTGCAGGGACAGCATTAAATTAATAAATATTACACAAAACCAGGTGAAATAGCCTGCAGCAAATGTCATGCAAACAGAACATTAAAATCCTATCTTCCAACCAAAACAAAAACCTCTGCTTGAAATCCCTAGCCCCAGACACAGACTCCAGCAGCGTGAAGTGGCCTGAGCAACTGGGAGAGTGTTGGTTCTGGGATCATTCACATTCACTTCAGGAATTATGAGTGTGTGTATGAAAAAACACTAGATAAAACTAAAGGCTCTGAGCATTTATGTATCTGAATTACAGGAACTTTTTTGGATTGTCTTGGTTTACAAATTATTTTTTGTGTTACAGAAAACATGGATGTCACAGATAGAAACGGCAATCTCCAATTACATCACGCAACATGAAACCAAGAAAAGTACTGCTTTCTGCTTCCCAGCTGAATCCACTGAAATTTAATAATGTCAGCACAGCACCAACACATTCAGTGGAAGACTACTGTGGTGATAACACAGTTGTTCCTCCCAGCAAGCCTTAAGTTTCTGAAGCTGACAGATTTCTGACTTGACTAGGCAGAAGTGACAAGTTTTGACCACAGGACGTAGGAATAAACTGGAGGGGGAAAATGAGCCATGCAACAAACGTATTGCTCTTACATACTCCTTTGCTTCAGCTAGGGGAAGGCTCTTGCCATCCAGGGAAGTTTTAATATAGCTTGTTTTTTCCTAGAAAGCGGGACAGGGGAAAAATCTACACTGGCGAGGAGAACTTATTCACCAGAAAAGTCTAGAAGGGTTATTCCAAGATCATGCAAACTGTATTAAGTTTCACAAAATTAAAATTTTATAGTCATAGCTCACTATAGTTATGCCTCTCTACCTCCTAAACTATAATATCGCAAGATGTTTTTTGCATTAACATTGAGTTTGTGGAGGCAGATTAGTAAAAGCATGTATCGTGTTGACTCATTAATTTTTAAAATGAGATTATATAAGTTTCTTTGAAAAAGGCCATAGTTACATGTAACATTCAGTTAAACTAGAGATGCTACTGAATATATAAACAGAAAGAACGAAAGTGCAATAATGCTCTGCTTTATAGGGATTATTTTTTTTTACCTGAAGTTTTTCACCACTTTATTAACAGCAGACCTGTCATTAAGCGTTGTTTGCAGCCATCGCAGCCTTCAGAGTTCAAGTTTGCTTCACAAACCCGACTGTTCCTTTTGCATTAAACCATTTGATACTTCACTGCTATCCCAGATCTGTGGTCCACATAGCAAACATGCTAATCACCTTTTTCCCCCCTCTTTCTGAAGTACTGAAAGAGACCCACAGAACAGCCTGAAATGCTTGCCACAACATTGGTGCAGGTTACCACCACAGAGGGAGGGTGTTCTCACCAGGTTAGCCTTGGTTAATCCCCTGAGATTAGCCGTAGCCAAGAGAGAAAGGGAACCTTCCCTAAAGCCACTCCGAAGCGACTGTCACTTCTCCCTCTTTCTGTGCCCGGTCAGCAAGTCTCATCAGCAGAAAAGTCAGCCCTTAGAATATCCCCTCAGTGTCAGAAATTACTTCAGGGGCAACTGAACACGGATGAGGACTATGCTGAAGAATGTAGGAGTGCCATTTGCTTGTTCACATTAATCACAGGGAAGTCAGCATTCACCTCTACTCCACAATCGAGTTAGTCATGAGTTCGTGTTGCCCCTAACTCAGCTCCTCCCCAGCTCCACTCCTCAGGGTGCAGCAGCACGTTTTATCCACTTGAGCTGCTTGACCTGTACATACAAGTGGTGGTCTGGAGGCTGTATGTATGTGTGTGTGTACGTAACTGTTCAGAACCCTCCAGATGCAGCCTAGGCTGCTGCGGCATACATTCCTGCACTCCCCTCTGTGCCTGCAATGGGCAAGTTTTTGTCACAGCTTCCTGGGAAAGGAACAGCCACCCAGGCTCCATGCCATCAGTGAATGTGAAGGGCAGAAGAGCAGAATAGAGTGGAGACAGCAGATCTGCTCCAGGCCACCACGCAAGCTGCAAACACTTAGCCACGACTTGGCTTTCACAGCTGTGCTCAATCTCCCCCATGCCAAGCCTTGCTGCATGCTGCATCACAGCCTTCCCCCTTCCACCGCTGGTGCCTCTCCAGAACCTCATAGCATCTCAAAACCAATGCTGACAGGGCAGAAAGACATCTGAATCCCAGAGAAGCCTCACCTGACAGACTACTCTGTGTGTTTTGTGCACTGGCGGAAGGGAAGGGGTGTTTTACTCCTCTGTATATTTTTTGTCAGAACAACCTTAACCCAGGTCTGCTCAGTTTACCAGACAACTAAGTAGTCCCAGGGATTCAGTATTACCTGGATGCCGGTGCATCTCCAAGGAGGACACTCCAGAGGAAGGAAGTATTCACACACAGGCTGTCTTTAGGGAGACATACACTCGACAGCCTTTTCAGTGGTATGGAGAGAAAAACACCTCATAAAGCTGTCGAGGCAGAAGTTAACTTCCCAACTTAAATTGCCTTTCAGGAGACCTCTTCTCTCCGTCTTTCTCCACTGTCTACAGAGAGCCCTTAGGAAGATCTGCTTCAGTAGCTAAACATAGCTATCTGTGAACAGCCCCACAATTCAATAGTGGCTTTGTCACAGGACTGATCTCACACACGTTAATCACCTGGCTTCTCTCTGCAACACAGTTCCGCCCTGAAAGAGGTTTCCATCTCACAAGTGAGCCCTTCATTAGTCTAAAATATAAAAGCAGCGCTACTTCCGAGTCTTCCAGTTCTGCCAACTGCCCAGCTGCACTGAATATGTCTGAACACAGCTAGTGACAGAAGGACTTTAACCCAACACAGGATACTCAGCTGCCTTGTGCAGTTATTGGAAATGGAAAAACTACTCTGAATTTAACTATTGAAAAAACAGATTTGAAAAAACAGTCATTCTCACTGCCTCCTCAGGAACATGAAAGCTTCCGTTGCAGCTCTCCACAAGTCTAAGAAACTGGAGCATTTAGCTTGTTCTTAGATGTCTGGTGTCCAAACAGTTCATTTGTAAAATGATATATCCCACATTTCAAAGTAGCTTTGCTGTCTGAAGTGGGGCAAGGTAGTTTTGAATGACAACTGGTCTATTAGAAAGGTCTGATTTATTTATTTTTTATTGTCATTAATCATTCCTTTAACAGGTTAGAAAACAAAAATGACATTTCAATAACATTTCATCATAGTTTATACAGAACCAGTTGATGCATGGTGTCATTTTCTCATCCAAATCCACAGCCACCTTCCAAATTGCAGAGTTTAGGAATTACAGTGCACGCTGGACTAAATCCTTTCACAATGTAAGGCACAACTACATGATCACAAGTAGTAAACACAAACACTGAAAAAAGAACTTAAGATAATCAGATTTCAATTAAAAAGAAACAAAACCAAAACACACTCATGCAAAAAAAAAAAAAAAAAAAATCTGTCTACACCTACCAAGATGGCAGTTTAAAAGAAGTGCAAGTAGGTAAACTGTAAGTAAACTGCCACATAAGGCTAGTATAATACATTACCTCTAAATAGTGGGTAAGAACTTAAAACTTTTTCCATTTATATTTTATACAATTATAGAGAAATTAAGTTGTATGAGCAATATTCACATCTGCAATAATAAAATGATCATTAAAATTCAGAAAAGGGGCAAACAAGACAACATAATTTGTGGCACGCATCCATTACAGAATACCATTCATCACGTTCACATCTCGAGTACTGAAGAAAAAAGAGAAGACTAAGTTAATGGTACATTTGGTGAATGAGGCTATCTATAGCCAAATGACAAAGCTGCGTACAAAATCATTTTTACCCAGCAGACCATGATTATGAAAGCTTGTGGTTATGATTTATTTCCTGTCCAGCAGCTACAGTTTGCAAGATTGAAACTACAGAAGTTAAAAGAATACAACAGAGTTTACAGTAACTTGAAACTATTGGATACTTTCAAACACACGAAAAAAAGAGACTTAACTTTTTTCCTTTTTGGTGATAAACTTTTGCAATATTGGCATTCACTGTAACTTTTACAGAACATGACAGCGAGCAAACCTTATTAAACTTACTTACCTAATGTTTGAATTTCACACTGAGAGGTAGTTTAAATGAAACCTTATGTAACGGCATCAAATGGTGGGGTTTTACGATTATTTTTTTGTGATTTTTTTTTTCTTTCCTTTTCTTACAAAAGTGACAAATCCTATACAAGCAGCATTTTGGACACATTACTATAAAAAGTTCTGGTATTTGCTAACCCAGCGAGACATTCTTTTAAACATCCCTTTTGTGCCAGGAATCAAGCTTTAGCGTGATACAACAGAGTACTTTGCCGTAAAGCCAACAGCAGGAGCCTGGACCTGCCAGCACTGGCCTGTTGACATAAACGATGAACAGACTTTCCTAGCCCTCTTTACCCAAAAAAGGCAGGAAATACAGATGAATTTGGTTTGAGTTTATGTCATAGGGGGAGGAAAAATTGGAAAACACGCCTACCAGGCTTCTGCTTTCATAGTAATGTTGATCCAAAAGGGTTAGCAGGGCTTCAGTAATCTTCAAATGAGCAGATACTCCTCTATCTGCTGCACAGTAAGTGCATAGTATGTGCTGAGCTACAGACAAAAGACAGAGTTCATTATATTAACTAGTACCTATCTTCTTCATTATTGTGATCTTAAGTGGCATCTAATGTTCTCTTTAAAGATGCAAACTTCTTTATTCAGTGCCCCTTAAAAAAAACCAAACAAACAAAAAACCACCCCAAAACTAAGTTTCTGTGGAGGGATTTTGCTATCCAATTATTGCTTGTTTTGAAAAATACAACACTTAGTGCTTTTGGAAAGGCTGTGGTTGGGCAATAATTTTAAACCTGTCCTAGAAGGGGTGCTGAGGTCAAGACTTGAAAAATTAAGAACGAGACAACTGCCAAGACCTCCAAAAATATATAAAATTAATGTTTTCTCATTTTATAATCTTAAAATGAAGCTCTACAAAGACAACGTGTGTGGCTACATAATTTTTGTTGTTACACATGCACTCAGACAATGACTGCTTTTTTGGTACAAAGGAATGATGAGTGCAGTTCTCCTTACTTAGCAAGGGGCCAAATGTAATACAGTGAAAAGTCCAGCTGAAGACAAACCTTCTGGCCATGGATTACAGCTAACACGCACAATGCCAGCGATGCCATTCCACTTACTGTGGATTATATTCTGTTAGACAGCAAAAAGTGCATAGTGCAAATGACAGTGTTGGTTCCTAGTCCTCCAAGAATATCAGAGAGGGAGGGGTGGTACTTGGAGGAGTAATTTATCAGTTCCAACATACTCTAACGATGGATTCATTCTTCTTGGCATAGTTTATAGTTTGTTTGAACTTAAGCTCCAGCAGTTTTCTGTCTGCCACTGAGTACTGGTCA